CAGGCGGTCTTCCATCCAAGTACTAACCAGGACCGACCCTGCTTTGCTTGAGATCTGACGAGATCGGGTGCGTTCAGGGTTGTATGGCCATAGACGTGAAAATGTTTTGGCCATTTTATTTATTAAATACGTTTACTTCTGTACTGATGTAATTTGTAATGTACTTTTTTTTTTTGAGACAGTCTCATTCTGTCACCCAGCCTGGAGTGCAGTGGTACAATCTCGGCTCACTGCAACCTCCGCCTCCTGAGTTCAAGTGTTTCTCCTGCCTCAGCCTCTCAGAAGCTGGAATTATAGCTGTGCATCACCATACCCAGCTAATTTTTTGTATTTTTAGTAGAGATAGGGTTTCATCACGTTGGCCAGGCTGGTCTCCAACTCCTTATCTCAGGTGATCTGCCTGCCTCGGCCTCCCAAAATGCTGGAATTACAGCTGCGAGCCAGTGAGCCACTGCACAAGGCCTAAATTTCATTTTTGCAGTGACAGGATCTCACTATGTTGCCCAGGCTGGTCTCTATCTCCCAGCCTCAGTCTGCCTTGGTCTCCCAACGTGCTGGGATTACAGGTGTGAGCCACTGTGCTTGGCCTCCAGCTGTTCCTTGGACATCTCAGGCATACTTCTATTCTAAGGATTTTGTATTACTACGCTCTGCCTGGAACATTCTTCCCTTGTACCCCTCAAGTCTGTATGACTGTCTTACAGTCTTCAAACTGCTCAAATGACAACTCAGTGAAGCCTCCCCACTTCACTGTTGCAGTTGAATCTGCACTCCCATCGTTTCTGACTCCCCTGTGTTTCCTTTTTCATTGCACTTAATTCCCTTTTATACAATTTTTATATAGTTTACTAATGTTTTAGTTTGTCTTTACAATGATGACATCCTGTAACACACTGAATATTTCTGGCTTTAGCTTCTTTGCCATAATCACTTACCAATGAACGTTGGAGTAAATAAATTTCATGTATACTTCTTTTTTTGAGAGAGAGTTTCACTCTTGTTGCCCAGGTTGGAGTGCAATGGCACCATCTTGGCTCACCGCAACCTCCACCTCCTGGGTTCAAGTGATTCTCCTGTCTCAGCCTCCTGAGTAGCTGGGATTACAGGCATCCGCCACCACGCCCAGCTAATTTTGTATTTTTTACTAGAGACGGGGTTTCTCCATGTTGGTCAGGCTGGTCTCGAACTCCTGACCTCAGGTGATCCGCCTGCCTCTGCCTCCCAAAGTGCTGGGATTACAGGTATGAGCCACCACACCCGGCCTCATGTGTACTCCTAATTTTTAAAAATTTCATTTTAGCCGGGCGCAGTGGCTCAAGCCTGTAATCCCAGCACTTTGGGAGGCCGAGGCAGGTGGATCACAAGGTCAAGAGATAGAGACCATCCTGGTCAACATGGTGAAACCCCATCTCTACTGAAAATACAAAACATTAGCTGGGCATGGTGGCGCGTGCCTGTAATCCCAGCTACTCTGGAGGTTGAGGCAGGAGAATTGCCAGAACCCAGGTGGCAGAGGTTGCGGTGAGCCATTGCATTCCAGCCTGGGTAACGAGCGAAACTCCATCTCAAAAAAAAAAAATTTTTTTCATTTTATTTTTATTTACTTATTTATTTTTGAGGTAGGGTCTCACTCTGTCGCCCAGGGAAGAGCACAGTGGCGTGCATGATCACAGCTCTCCGAAACTTCAACCTCCCAGGCTTAAGCAATCTTCCCACCTCATTCAGCCTCCTGAGTAGTTTGGACTACAGGTGTGCACCAACTGCCTGGCTAAGTTTTTTATTTCTTTGTAGAGACAGGGTCTCCCTATGTTTCACAGGCTGGTTCTAACTCCTAGGCCCATGTGCTCCACCCACCTCGACCTCCCAAACTGCAAGGATTAACAAGCCTGAGCCACTGAGCCTGCCCTTTTTTTTTTTCTTTTTTTTTTCTTCTTTTTTTTTTTACTGTTGTAGAATATAAAGCCTGAAATCCATGTTAATTTACACCTCTGCATAGGTGGCTCCCCCATCCAAAATCACCTCTGCCTGGCCTCTAATGTTCATTCAAAATACTTTTCTTTTTTAATTTCCTTTTTCTTCTTCCCACCCCCAAATCAAAATTCTTCTGAAACCTCCTTTGTGAAGCTCTCCCTCCACCCCCAGGGAATGTAATATGCTCTCCTTTGCATCCCACCCTGTGACCTACTCATATCTCTAATTACAACACCTACCATACTACTGGCAACGTTGTATGTCATTAAAAGTTAAAATATAAAAACAAACATGTATGGATCCATCGCACAGAAAATCTGATAACTATACAGACTCTGTCGGCAGGAACCATCTGTTTTGATGTGTGTGACTGTCTATGGTTGCACTGTACAACTAACAAATGCAATCGATACCAGGAACAGTCACATAGATCTCACTAAAGTCCTATATCCAAGAGCTGCACTCTAAGTGAAATGCAAACTTTCATCAAATTATTTCGCCTAATTTTCCAGTACCACTTTATCCAATGGTGTATACGTATATGAACATTTTATCTTGATATATGTTTTTATTAACAAATGCTATAGGCCGGGCGCAGTGGCTCAAGCCTGTAATCCCAGCACTTTGGGAGGCCGAGGCGGGTGGATCACGAGGTCAAGAGATCGAGACCATCCTGGTCAACATGGTGAAACCCCGTCTCTACTAAAAATACAAAAAAAAAAAAAAAAAATTAGCTGGGCATGGTGACGCATGCCTGTAATCCCAGCTACTCAGGAGGCTGAGACAGGAGAATTGCCTGAACCCAGGAGGCGGAGGTTGCGGTGAGCCGAGATCGCGCCATTGCACTCCGGCCTGGGTAACAAGAGCGAAACTCCGTCCAAAAAAAAAAAAAACAAATGCTATATACGATTGGGGGGTCACCAGAGTTCTCAAAAGCTCATATTCTACAACAAATTTGATGTACCAAGGCTTTTTTTTTCAGACAGAGTCTCACTCTGTCGCCCACGGGGAGTGCAGCCACACAGTCTCAGCTCACTGCAACCTCCGTCTCCTGGATTCAAGCAACTCTCCTGCCTCGGCCTCCTGAGTAGCTGGGATTAGAGGTGTGCACCAACCCGTCCAGCTAATTTTTGCATTTTCAGTACAGACGCGGTCTCCCCATGTTGGCCAGGCTCGTCTCAAATTCCTGACCTCAAGTGATCTCCCTGCCACCTCAGCCTCCCAAAGTGCTGGGATTATAGGCATGAGCCACTGTGCCCAATCCACTACCAAGGCATTTTAACATATCTATTTATTGTACTTTACCATACATTAATAAAATACACAACATCCAGTCCTATAATACTGCCTCCTCTAACTACTTATATTCTTTTTTTTTTTTTTTTTTTCAGACAAGGTCTCACCCTATCCCCCAGGCTAGAATATGGTGGTGTGACCTGGTTCACTGCAGCCTTGAATTCCTGGGCTCAAGTGATCCTCCTGCCTCAACCTCCTGAGTACTTTTTAAAAATTTTTGGAGACAGAGGTCTCACTAGGTTACCCAGGCTGGTCTTAAACTCCAGGACTGAAGTAATCCTCCCTCCACAGCCTCCCGAAGAACTGGGGTTGATCCAAAGGTAGTGAGTTATCTCCATTCACAGTCAGTTACACATCAAACTCCTTGCTCTACTCTTTCCTCCCTTTTCAGTAGTGCACTTGACTAGTCATTTCTTTTCTTTTTTCTTTTTTTTTTTGAGATGAAGTTTCACTCTCGTTGCCTAGGCTGGAGTGTGCAATGTTGCGATCTCAGCTCACCGCAACCTCCACCTCCCAGGTTCAAGCAATTCTCCTGCCTCAGCCTCTCAAGTAGCTGGGACTACAGGCATGCACCACTATGCTCAGTTAATTTTGTATTTTTAGTAGAGATGGGGTTTCTCCATGTTGCTCAGGCTGGTCTTGAACTCCTCACCTCAGGTGATCCACCTGCCTCGGCCTCCCAAAGTGCTGGGATTACAGGCGTGAGCCACTGTGTGCCCAGTCTTGACACGTCTTAAAAAAAATTAACAAGCTGGGCGCAGTAGCTCACACCTGTAATCCCAGAACTTTGAGAGGCTAAGGTGAGCAGATCACGAGGTCAGGAATTCAAGACCAGCCTGACCAACATGGTAAAACCCCATCTCTACTAAAAAAAAAAAAGGCCAGGCGTGGTGGCTCACGCCTATAATCCCAGCACTTTGGGAGGCCGAGGCGGGTGGATCACGAGGTCAAGAGATCGAGACCATCCTGGTCAACAAGGTGAAACCCCGTCTCTACTAAAAAAAAATACAAAAATTAGCTGGGCATCGTGGTAGGTGCCTGTAGTCCCAGCTACTCGGGAGGCTGAAGCAGGAGAATTGCTTGAACCCAGGAGGCGGAGGTTGCAGTGAGCCGAGATAGCGCCATTGCACTCCAGCCTGGGTAACAAGAGCGAAACTCCGTCTCAAAAAAAAAAAAAAAAATTAGCTGGGGATGGTGGCACATGCCTGTAATCCCAGCTACTTGGGAGGCTGCTGAGGAAGGAGAACTGCTTGAACCAGGACCTAGGAGGCGGAAGTTGCAGTGAGCGCAGATCCCACCACTGCACTCCAGCCTGTGCTACAGAGTAAAACTCTTGTCTTGAAAGAAAAAAAAAAAAAAAAAAAATTGGCCAGGCATGGTGGCTCAAGCCTGTAATCCCAACACATTGAGAAGCTGAGCTGGGAGATGCCTTGAGGCCAGGAGTGTGAGACCAGCCCAGGCAACACAGGGAGATCCCCAACTCTACAAAAATTTAAAAATTAGCCAGGCGCAGTGGAATGCACCTGTAGTCCCAGCTACTTGGGAGGTTGAGGCGGGAGGATCTATGATTGTCCCACTGCACTCAAAACTGGGTGACAGAGCAACATTCTGTCCCTAAACAAGAAATGAAACAGCAAAGTGCTGGGGATTACAGGCATGAGCCACCACACCCTGCCTATAGATCTATTTCTAAAACCAAAATTGTTGCAAAGTAGATAAACCTATATTCTTACCATTATTGCTAACAAAATCTTCATGTAAAATAGGAAGATCAAGTCGAATTCGTTTTAAACAGGTCTGAAAATAAAAAGAGATTATTTATTTTTACCTCTTTACCAATAATGTTATGGGGGGATATAGATATTTGCAATTAATTTTCCCTCTCTACCAAAAGAGATTTCAAAAAGCAATCTAGCCTCAACTAAATCTTTTTTTGTTGTTGTTTTTTTTTTGAGACAGAGTCTTGCTCTTTCATTCAGTCTGGAGTGCAGTGGCACAAACTCAGCTTACTGCAGCCTCCACCTCCCATGTTCAAGCAATTCTCCTGCCTCAGCCTTCCAAATAGCTGGGACTACAGGCGCGTGCCTCTATGCCCAGCTAATTTTTGTATTTTAGTAGAGACGGGGTTTCACCATGTTAGCCAGGATGGTCTTCATCTCCTGACCTCATGATCTGCCCCCACCTCAGCCTCCCAAAGTGCTGGGACTACAGGCGTCAGCCACCACGGCCTAGCCTCAACTGAATCTATCTTATCATTTAGCATTGTGAATATTAATAGTCATCTCAACACTTACCTGAACTTCCTTTTTACTTCCCAGGTATTCAACTCTGTCAATAAAATCCTCAAACTGCAGTTTAGGGAATAGTCTATGTGCCCAGTGCTCCATGTGTCTGATTAGCGTCTTCAAGTCTTCAGCCTGGCACATAAAAATAAAAATGCTAAGGAGTCTCATTCTCACAGCTGACCCTGTCAGCAACTTTCAGAACTGAAAAGCTATGCCAAAATCACTGGGGTCATTTTATATTCTTAAGGTTGAAAAACTTATAAAAGGAAGTTTAATAAGAAAAATATTGGCCAGTCACAGCAGTTCATGCCTGTAATCACAGCACTTTGGGAGGCCTACGCGGACAGATCACTTGAGCTCAGGAGTTCAAGACCAGCCTGGGCAACGTGGTCAGACCCCTTATCTACTAAAAACACAAAACACATCCAGTCCTGGTGGTGCACGCCTGTGGACCAAGCTACTCAGGTGGCTGAGGTGGAAGGATTTTTAGCCTGGAAAGCAGTGGTTCCAGTGACAAGTTCACACCACTGCACTCCAGCGTGACAGGGTGAGATCCTATCTCCCAGAAAAAAAAAAAAAAGAGAGAGAGAGAAATTAAGACCTTAGAGGACTGCAGTCTGAAAGAGCACTGGATACAGATTTTTTTCTTTTTTCTGAGAGACAGTCCCACTCTGTCAGCTAGGCTAAGTGCAAGGGAGCAATCGGGGTTCACTGCAATCTCTGCCTTCCGGGTTTAAGCGATTCTTCTCCCTCAGCCTCCTGAGCAGCTACGATGAGAGGCGTGTACCACCACTCCCGGCTAATTTTTTGTTTGTTTTGAGGTAGAGTTTTGCTCTTGTTGCCCAGGATGGAGTGCAATGGTGCAATCTCGGCTCTCTGCAACTTCTGCCTCCTGGGTTTAAGCAATTCTCCTGCCTGAGCCTCCCAAGTGCCTGGGATTATAAGCATGCACCACCATGCTCCGGCCAATTTAGTATTTTTTAGTAGAAACAGGGTTTCTCGGGCCGGGCGCGGTGGCTCAAGCCTGTAATCCCAGCACTTTGGGAGGCC